CAATAATAGGAACATTTTTGGCCAGCTCTTAAAATCATAGAATCAATGAGGCAGAAGGGACCTAGGCAGATCATCTAGTCCAACCCCCTGCCATGGGCAGGAAGGAGCACTGGGGGTGGCAGGGGTCATAAGACCCCAGCCAGGTGCCTATCCAGTCTCCTCTTGAAGATTTCCAGGGAAGGTGAGAGCACCACCTCTCTGGGAAGCCTATTCCAGGCTCTGGTCACACTTATCTTATCTGCACGTAGAAGGCTCTTGGGGGATATGATGAGTTTAGGCATCTAGGGGGTCATGTTTTGTCCCTTCTCCCAAAGCCTGACCCTGCATACAGACAAGAGACTGCTGAGATTATCATGTTTGCTACATACAAGGCATGCTAAGAAACCGTATTTTATAATCCATTCAGCTAAACAGGATCTAGAGGCATAAGCCTTCCAGATTTCATCAGCCACTTCATACAGTCCCCTGAAGCATGAAGTGTTCCTCCATATCCCTTGCAAAGCATAAACTGATGCCTTTTTTTTTATCTAGAGATGCTCTCATTGCTTACTGAAGTAATAGGGTAACTCCACAAATACAGCATACATTGAGGAGTAGAACAATTTAACTAGGTATAAAGTTTATACGGCTTTCAAAGACTTTGGCTTAAGTGAAGAGGGTACTGGAAATAGATTCCTCCTATTTGAGAGGAGGCTGAGTGGCCCATCCCTAAATGAGAGGGGTCTAGGGACTAGGCACTGATGCCCCCACTGATTGACATGACTCATAACTTAATCACCTAATTAATGCTGCCTTTTCACTTTTAATATGAAGTCTTATTCCTGATCAGATGCAGGGAAAGAGGCATCCTAAGGAAGCCTGCAATCAAGATCTGTTGAGTAAAATGTGAACTGTCTTAGCTGGGAAGCCGATTACACTGTAAATGCTTTTCCTTGTAAGAAGTTGCACCAACTTCTTGAAAGCATGAAACTAACCTTTGGGGAAAGGAGTTGGGTGGTGGTGGGAGTCTACAAGACACTGGAGTTAAAATGTCCAGGAGGGAAATTACTGCATGATGTTTATTCCTTTGAAAAAAGGAGGAGATAGTGGACAAGAGGGAAACTGTCTGTTTTTAATTTATCCTGCTACAGTGTAGCTGGAGTTGGTCATGCTGCCAGTGGGATCAAGGGTTTTGGTGGGCTCTGCTTACTTGTCAACAGACACTAGAAAGGAGCCAGAAAAAGAATAACAAAGATGACTTGCTGTACAGCTGGATAGCTGTTATGGGAAGCAAAGGGAGTGCAGTTAGTCTAAGCAATTGGACAGATTAGAGGAGTAAGCTATGGCTATCCTGTCTTGCATTATAAGATGATGCAGATGCTGTTTGTTTGTTTTGTTTTTTCCTTTTAAATGGAAGGAAATGAGCCCCACATTGTATCTGAATCTGGGGTTGGTTAGTACTGATTGTAAACATGAGTCTGTTGAGCAAAATGGTATAAACACTGTTCGGGGTACACTTTAGGCTTGATGCTGCACTGAATCCTAAGTGACTTCAGTTGACTGCCTAACCAGCAAGCCTCTGCATTGCCTCTGACACAAATATCTCAGTACTCGGTGGATTTGAGACTTTTTTTTATGTAAAATTTCAAGGTGCCTGTTTGCATGAATAAATAGCTCATTTTGCCTCATCCACATTGAGCTGCAGTCAGTAAAAGTCCTTCTGCATACTTTTTTAATAGGCTCTGGATCCAGATCATAAGAGAAGTGGTCACCACTTACTTCCTTTCCCTGCCCGCTCCCAAGTCCATTGTTGCTGTGGTATGTCTGATTCTTGAACGCTCTTTTAACTGTTTATCAGAAGCCCAAAGGGCTGGTTGGCAGGTGAAAATCTAACTGTGCTTAGTAGTTTGCCAAATGTAATGTGCTAGTGGACACTGCTGTATGTGAAGGGGCCTTTTTGTTTTCAACTCTTCAGGACTTGTCTAGTTGAGCAACTTTGCTAATGTAGCTGCTTTCACTGTAAATACCAAATATGCCATCTTTTACTGGGGCACTGATAGTCCTGGTGCTGTTGGAGCTATGCTAGGAGTCTTCACTACTTGCATTCTTCTAAACCAGCACTCTTTCCTGCCCAGGCCAGGGGGTCAGACTCTGTGATCTGCTCATGTCCCTTCTGATCCTGAAAATCTATGAAACCCAGACCCTTTTTTTTCCTCTCAAAAGGTGGTGTGGGCACACCTCAGTATATTCTGAGGCTTTGAAGTACTAATGGTGGTACAACTGACCTGAGACTCTGCCCCTACTCTCAATTAAATCCTATGGTTTCTCCTGATTGGGCAAACTGGCAGTAAACTTTAGCTGGCCAGCTTTGGAGCCTAGTTCATGGAGCAGCCCAATTCCTTTGGGTACAGCTACTTTCTTTGTTCTACTTTATTAGTAATAGAAGGTCAGAGATACTGTCACACGACTCAGTTGTTGGCTTTGTTTTAGGGTATGTGGGTGTGTGTGTATATACAGGAGATGTCTTAAATTGTCCAAACCTGGGAGGCTTATCCTGTTCCCTTCACTGTATTGGAAAGTGTCTCTTAGCAGCTCCAAAAGCATATACAGACCTTGTTTTCTTTCCATCAATGGAAAGATGGAGTAATGCTTCTCAATGAGGGTTTTTTGGGGGTTTTTTATGTTATGACCTGGCTAATACTTTAACACAATCAAATCTGACTCTTCCATGTTCGTGGCATATGGCTACAAATGCAACTCTTCCCAAGCCCCAAAAAAATTTGTGCTGGTATCCAAAACTTCTAATAAACCCTTTAGTAGGATTACCCTTTCCTAGGAAGTGTTGGGATCTCTGTAAGAACAGATTGGGGGGGAGGGGGGAAATACTTTACCATATAAAGTCAAGTCTCATCTTCTAACTTGGGCATGCATTATAGGCTCCTCAAGTACTAAAATGGACTTGAAGGATTAAATGATTGTATTGTAACTATTGCATATCTTGCATGGCTAAAGAGCAAATGTATTTTCCCTTCAAGGATATCTAAATCTGTCGGTTTAGCCCAAACTCTGCAGGGAGGGGCTTGTGCTTCCCTCTGCGGCAGCGGTGGCCCCTCCCAGGTAGCACCTGGCTTGGGTGGTCCTGTGGGCACTGCAGCCACAGAGGGAAGCACCTGGCCCATGCAGCTCAGGCAGGCAGGCTCCGGAGTGGGGAAGAGGTGGGGGATCAGACTCACCACTTTCTTTTGGTGGAGCCTGCCTGCCTTCCCAGGCTGCCTGCAGGGCTTCCTGCAGAACCCCTGAGCAGCATGGAGTTACAGTGCTTAGCTCTGCAACTGTAGGAACAGCAAACTAAAACTCCTCGGAGGAGTTCTAGTTTGCTGCATCCCAAGTCATTTAAGGTGCATTAGGCTGCTGAATTTGTTTACAGTCTCACTGTAGCAGTGCACAATATGCCGCCCACGCATGCAAACGTGGACACCACTAAAGCGGTGCAAAAGCATTTGGCCCGCTTTAGTGTCATGCACACATGCCCATCACTTCTACATGCAGCACAAGTGCCTGGTTCTCCCCTGGGATTGGGGCAGCATAGAAGCATGTATTGTTACAACAAGTCAGGGGGCATGCTTTTGGTTACCATAATGGAAAAATATTGCCCAGGTCCACACTTGAGGGCTTTGTTTTTCTGCTAGCTTTTTAACTGTTTTAAAGCATTATCATGAGATGACTGTGTGCTTTGTTCAGCACATCGCTCTGAAAAATACTCCTCTGGGTGTGGGCTTGGTTAGAGGTGTGCTGCTTTATCAAAATTAGCTTGAGACAGTGTGGAAAAAAATGGATAATGCCTTATTGCACAAGGAGCATGTTTCATGCCATGTATACTGAAATTTCCTTTTTCTTTAATTATGTTTATAAAAGACCTGAGTTAACTGCACTGAAGAAAGAAGCATTATCCATGGAATAGGGTGTATTACAGAAAGTGGAAGTAGGGATTACCCAGAAAGATCCTGATTCACTCTTCCTCACAATCCATACCAAGTATAAAGTGGCTCAGGCTTGGAACTAGGGGAACTATGTTTCTTGGGATGGAGGCAACTGAAGAGATGAGCAGGGCTGTCCTTTTTTTCTGGCTCATGTACTAGTGCTGTTGCTGGGTACCTCTAGCCTTCTTGCTCTGATGACTAATATATAGATAGGTGGGAACAAAAACAAGGGCCAACAATTCATGTTGTGCACTATCATATAAGCGTAACTTCCCATATCTCCTCCTCATATGCTGTACACCTGAACCACTGCATTGTTTCAGCTAGCACCAACAATGGTGCACTAAGTGCTATGCCCTCTTTTTGTGCACAGATAGTTTCCATGTGTTAAGCCACTCTTAAAAAGCATCAACGCAGACAGTCTCCTGGAGGGGTGTGGTGCAGGATGTTCTCAAAAAAGAAAATGGCAAATATAGCTGCACTTGTATATAGTAAGCATACTCCATCATAGGTGGCCATGATCCTGTGCTACAGCTAACACATCTTGTATGACCCTGCTGTACTTAATTCTGCAAAGCCTTACCAATGGGATTTATTCTTGAACTATGAATGGATAATCAATGATTCAAAGCTATTTGTAGACTAGATTCCCTCAAAGGTCTTGTCCTTGTGCCATTGAATTATGAGGAATGTTGCCACTACTTGAGACTAGAGCAAGACTTTTTTTCTACAGGGCCAAGCACTTGACATCCTCAAGTAGTCTGACAAACTCAATTGAAACCACTTTAGTTGCACCTTACACCAAGGAATAGTACTAAGCTTTGGATGAGAGACTCTTGCTGTGTTTTGCTTAGCCTTCCAGTTTGCACATGAAAGGCTGTGCTGCACATATGCTCACACACCTGGGACTACCCTAAAACATTACACTGTTTTAAAAGCATGAAAGTAATCTCACGCTTGCTCACACTTCCAGCTGCTCTTCATGACCTAGAATGTGTCTTGCTTTCCTGCGTGGTAACTCCTATGTTCTGTTTTTTGTAGAACTCGGGACTTTATGAGTATAAAATCTATGGCAGCCTTCCTGATTGTTCCCCTGAGTTGTGTGCAGATGTCTATATGGATTTGGACTACAGAAAGCAATGGGATCAGTATGTTAAAGGTTAGTAAATGCAACGTGCACTTAAAGCTGCTGCAGGATCAAAAGGTTGGAGATTTGAAGGCTTTTTTATTAACTTTTCCTCTTCAAAGCTCTAAAGGCCACTTTTTTTTTTGTTTAATGAACTTCTTAATGCTCAGCATTTACAGTTGTGGTCAGATTCTCAAAAGCTCCTCCTCCTCCAAATAAGAAAGAAATTTGGCATAGGATAGCTGAGTTCTTCCCTACTCAGCACCCAACTAAAACTCTGGCCAACTCTCTCTGGCTAAAGTTCTGGCCAGTAGTGGTGATGTGTTCTGTATCCAGAATGAGTGTGTGACTACCATTACAACATATACCCAAGCACTTCACAATCTTGGAGGTATTTATCTTTACGCAGATGGCTTTTAATGCACATACTTTTTCTGGGGTGGGTGGGTGGGGTGATGGGGTGACT